TTTGACTCATTTAGAGTGCACACAAATCAACATTTTGACTTTCGTTAGAAGGGGAGGGGGGGTTAAGACCTAAGTAAATTAATTAAGTTTTTTGACGGACATTGAAATATTGACCATAACCCTAATACATGTATAGTTAGAACGTACAAATCGTTCCAGAAGGAAAGAATATTGTATTTGAAATTAGATAACAAAAACTATAGATTGGCAATAAGTAGATTTTGAATGAGTTTTCATTGATTGGCAATCCAGGCTGGAAGACCTGCAAAGCAAAAACCTAGAGAAAACTATGCAATATTTATATAAAACATATAGAGGGTGAGTGTCATTTCTTTTTTACTTGTACAATCAATGATAAGGTAAAACAGATAGTAAAGCGTATAGTCAGAAAGCAGTGTAGGCCAGTGTATGTGAACCACACTTAAAATGTAACATTGTCCTTTCATCATAATTACAAATGACCCCAGCTTTACAGCAGAACCATGTACAGCAATCTTATGAATAGGTTTTTACCATGTACACTAGCCTAGCTTGTTGGCTTGGATTGCATTTAAAAGTGAACATTGGTGCAAGTACTAACAGGCAGTTTCTATTTTACAGGATATATTATCCTGATAGTCTAGTGGTAAAGGAATGAAACACATTAAAATTTTAGAAATCTGCTTGGCCATTAATAACATTTCATAGACACAATAGACATGATAGATTAGTGCTTATGTTCTAGTTTGTTTTGAACTGAAATTCTATTAGTAATGAAAACACAGAATGAAATTCATATTCTAATCTAAATTTCATTACAAATGAAAGAGCAGAAATGCTCAAATCTATTATCTATCAAATCAAATCTATCAAATATACCATACTTCAACAATCTAAGTGATGACCTTAGTTCTAAAATATAGATATATAAAGTCAGTGTATTTATTATTAACAAATTAAAAGGTCTCCACTTTATACATTATATATACATCTTTCCTACTATTATTGATGTACATTATATACATAAAAATGTTAGCTTGTACTTAGTAAGACATATTTTGTTGGCCCATTAATCTTAAACTTATGTCTGTGGATATCTACGTATTAGGACACCAGATAGCCATTCTGATCAGATACTCATAGCTTCTTTCTGTTTCACCTGAAACATCATCTCAGGGCTGAGAAGAAATGAGATGTCATGATGCCAGATAGCCATCAGTTACATGAATTTGAGAGAAACATTTGAGCCCAGCATCACCTTGTATTTTGATTCTTTGATTCAGGGGCGTAGCCAGCTTTTAATCAGGGGGGATGCAATTGTCAAATTTATTTTCGGTTTTGGGTCGGAGGGGGGAGGGTGCGATCATGGCATAAACAAAAAGTTTACAAAGATGTATGCAATTCCTTCAAAATTGAGCTAGAAACTTCAAATAAAAAAATTGTAAAGCCCTTTTCTTCTATCTCATGGTTCTATTTTGGTGCCATCACACTCATCGCCTATGTGATTCCAATGTAGAATATTTTGTACTTCATATTTTATTGTAGAAAATTTAAATTGGAACTCCAGACTGGACATACATGTAACATTTTATCTGTATAGTGTATCTGAATAGTAGGTCATGTATATGTATAGGTAGTGTGTTAAATTTTTTTAATTCATCTGGAAAACTTTAAAGAACACTATAATTTTGTCTTTGAATTATATATTGAATCAGCTTGCAAACTATCTTTAAGAGGGGAAACAGTTAGTTTTCTCAAAACTATAGCTTTGAGACAAACCCATAAATTTCATCTTATCTAAATAATATGTCAACCCCTCTGCTAACAAGCAAAACAGATGCTGGTCAGATCAACTACTGATGCATTAGCACCCAAATATATATGGGATATATCCTTGTGAACAACCTTGTGAAGAAAGGAACAATTGTTTTAAATACTAATACAAATTGTTCAAAAAAATACACTAGCAAGTTTTCATTTTATAAAAAATAACTTTTGAAATTAAAGCCCCTCACCTACAAAAGACCCCTTGAGAAATTAATTACACATGGTGCACTATAACGCACAATTCCAAAATAGTGGTTTGTCAGAAACCAACTTTGAGTTTCAATAAAATGAATCGAAATAGCCAGGAGCATATTTCAATACCTGACTGAGCAGTCAGCAGTGATATATATTTTCTTGGGCATCAGACCAGCACAATCACAAATGAAATAAACGACCTTCTCATAATGTGTCACCTCTTGACTCAGTTATCTGTTTTCTACCAGGGTCAGAGGAATCTTCCCACAATTTTATGTTGTAAACATTGATTGTAACAAGAATTGCCAAAAATAAAAATGCATGATGTGGATTATCAAGACATGGCCAACCTATATTGGAGCTTGGGGCATTAAATCTGACAAAGTTACCTATATAACCAATATAAAGTGTATAACATGCCCAATGTTATACAGTTTTATCTTCCAAACTAGTTTTTAATTTTAGGGTAGGTTAATGGGTTCAGATTATCTTATTTATTTGAATGTGTCAGAACCTCTTTTAAGAAGACTTATTACTGTATTCATTTATAGGGCTCCCCAAGAGGGGACAGTGACTGAGGTTGCTTTAAATTTTCTAAGTCCAAAATTGTCATTTGTTACATTTAAAATTGAATTGTCACATTTTGTCAGATTCATTCTTTTTTACTCAGTCAAAGCATTTAATGCAACACATGGTCTGTTATGTTCCATTGTTGATTACTGGTTAAAATAAGACACATTTACTAACATCCATTTACATTCAGAATGAATTCAAATTGTCTATTTTTGTCACTTTCAAAACACCTGTCAGTCAAAATTGTTACTTGCAAGCATTTATTTGTCACATTCGTTCAACTTTAAATACCCCAAAGTTGCATTTAGTCATATTTTTAGGGCATGTATCACCTTGTCACATACCCCTTAAGGAGCCCCATTTAGGGGAATAAACCCAGTTTCATCTGAAATACCCCAAATCATTCAGTGAATCCTTAGGGAGTTGCTGTTTACTTGTTTGATATTGTGTGTTAAGGTGTATATTCATTGGAAGCTCACAACTTGAACAATGGCAGAAGCTACATCAAATACAATGTCTGAACCTCTTTGGTTTTTACAAGAAATGGAGGGAAATGTATATGTGATTTTAGGAGGAACACGAATGAGAAGGTTTGGAAGTGGAGATGAATATCTAAGTATATCTGCTGTTGGGCAAGGTGCTAAAGGAAGTGATGTTAAGGCTTATATAACGTTATACCTAACGCTGAGACAGAGATGCTAAGTTCAACACTAGGTATAACGTTATACCTCACGCTGGGTCAGAGATGCCAAGTTCAGCATTGGGTATAACGTTATACCTCATGCTGAGTCAGAGATGCTAAGTTCAACACTAGGTATAACGTTATACCTCACGCTGGATCAGAGATGTTAAGTTCAACATTAGGTATAACGTTATACCTCACGCTGAGTCAGAGATGCTAAGTTCAACACTAGGTATAACGTTATACCTCACGTTAAATTAAAAATAAAATCTCAGCCATCTCACTCGTGTTTGAAATTCATCTATATTTTACTTTTCCCATTCCAAAAAATAATTCCCATTCTAAAAAATAGAGTGTTACTTGTATTTTATTAAAATCGGTCTAATTGAGCGTTATCCCTGCTCAAGACCAATTTGATATTTTTACATCTTGTAGATTTAAATGTCCTCTTTTGAATATTCATAGTTTAATTTGGGTAATATTTCTATATTTTTCATGAAAAAAATATTAGCTCAGGAGACTGTTCTCCAAACCGAGAATCGTCCTTTAAAGTATTATCTGTTAATGTTTCAGGAAATATATCCAAGTGGTTGTTGCTGGTAAGACTATTGTCGATTACACACTATGTGATCCTCAAATTTAAAGTATTATCTGTTAATGTTTCAGGAAATATATCCAAGTGGTTGAAGCTGGTAAGACTATTGTCGATTACACACTTTGTGATCCTCAAATTTAAAGTATTTTGTCATAATGAAATTAATATATCGAATGACATAACATGAAATAAGACCGAAATCTAGGTTTTCCTCGAATATACAAAGGTTACTATTATTACCCAAAATTGACAGGATTAAATCCTCAAAGGACGATTCTCGGTTTGGAGAACAGTCTCCTGGGCTAATAATTTTTTTCATGAAAAATATAGAAATATTACCCAAATTAAATTATGAATATTCAAAAGAAGACATTTAAATCTACAAGATGTAAAAATAACAACTTGGTCTGAAGCAGGGATAACGCTCAATTAGACCGATTCAATAAAATACAAGTCTCGATTTGAGGAAAGAAGTTCATCAGTGTGCTGCGCTAATATTTTTTTTGCGAAAAATCTAGAAATATTACCCAAATTAATTATGACTATTCAAAAGAAGACACTCAAATCTATGTTATGTAAAAAAATCAAATTTGTCCGAAGCAGGGATAATGCTCATTTAGATTGATGAACTTCGTTCTCCAAACCGAGAATCGTCCTTTAAAGTATTATCTTTTAATGTTTCAGGAAATATATCCAAGTGGTTGCTGCTGGTAAGACTATTGTTGATTACACACTATGTGATCCTCAAATTTAAAGTATTATCTGTTAATGTTTCAGGAAATATATCCAAGTGGTTGAAGCTGGTAAGACTATTGTCGATTACACACTTTGTGATCCTCAAATTTAAAGTATTATCTGTTAATGTTTCAGGAAATATATCCAAGTGGTTGTTGCTGGTAAGACTATTGTCGATTACACACTATGTGATCCTCAAATTTAAAGTATTATCTGTTAATGTTTCAGGAAATATATCCAAGTGGTTGTTGCTGGTAAGACTATTGTGGATTACACACTATGTGATCCTCAAATTTAAAGTATTATATGTTAATGTTTCAGGAAATCTATCCAAGTGGTTGCTGCTGGTAATACTATTGCTGATTACACACTATGTGATCCTCAAATTTAAAGTATTATCTGTTAATGTTTCAGGAAATATATCCAAGTGGTTGTTGCTGGTAAGACTATTCTCAATTACACACTATGTGATCCTCAACTCATCACTGACTCACCCAATATTGACATCACATTCCTCAACAGAACACAAAAGCATCTGGTAAGTTAGACTGTTTGGACTGACTTCAATTTTTTTCAAACTCATCTACAAGTTTTCAGAAGTTCAAATCTGACTTTATATTTAACATTTGACCTTCAATGACGTTTTTTAGGTCTTAAAAAGCTCAAAAAGATATTTTTTCAACTTGCTTTAAATTGACTAATTTTTTTCAAAATCATCTACAAGTTATCAGAAGTTCAAATCTGACTTTATATTTGAGATCTGACCTTCAATGACCTTCTCAAGGTCAAAAAGGGGTCTAAAAGGAATTTTTCAACATGCTTCAAATTGACCATTATTTTTCATTTCAAAATTATTTTTCAATTTCAAAATCATCTACAAGTTCTCCAAAAGTTCAAATCTGACTATAGATTTGACCTTCAATGACATTCTCAGGGTCAAAAAAGATTTGACCTTCAATGACCTTCTCAAGGTCAAAAAGATATTTTTTCATCTTGCTTCAAATTGACCAATTTTTCACCTTCAACTAGGTGGTGACATTTTGTCATGTTAATGCCTTGTCTTCACTTGAATTGGACCTTTTATATATCATGTTACATATCCAGCTTGTGCTTAATATTGTGTCGGACTTTAAATATTAAAAATAGTTCTTTATTTCAGGTGGTCAACAGTAATCAGAGTGCATCTTACATATGGCAGTTTAAAACAAACACCGAGGAGTGTCCTCCCATAAATTGGCAGTTCTCCCTTAAATACCAAGGTCAAGGTCAGATGGAGGAGAGATCTTGTAAGAAGGAGTTCTCTCTGGATAAATACAAGGTAATTGAGACTTTGAAATGGTGTTTGTGATCTCCCAATCATAAGAGCAACCAGCCAGTGCTTTACCCTACTGAGAATATGTTTACATGTTACCTAGTTGAAATTCTGTGCCTCTGTCATTAAAAGGATGCATTTTTACCAAAATGCATGCATCAGGGGGAATAACCCCAGAGTTCAGAGATGACATACCCTTATCAGTGGCGGATCCGGGCCCCCCCCCCCCCTAAGTTGGGCCCAGAGAAAAATAAATTGGGCCCAAAAAGTTTTGGGCCAAAAAAGGCCTTAAGGCCCCAAAAAGTGGGCCTTTTTGGTCATAACTAGGCCTTCTAAGGCCTTATTTTTTAATTTCAGGCCAATGTTTGAAGAAAATGGACCTCAAAATTTAAAAATTTGGGTCCACTTTTTGGTTTTAGGGGCCCAACATGTTTTTCTCTGACCTGCCCCCCCCCCCCGCTTGTTGATTCCTGGATCCGCCACTGCTTATAACATAAAGCTGTATTGAGATGACATACGTCTCTGACTAGTCAAAATCAACAAACAAAATGGTGGCCTCAAAACTTTCGAAATACGTTTCAAATAATATTATGTTAATTTCCTGCGTGTTAACCAATATCATAGCTTCTCATTTCACATCAAGATAGAGAAAGGTGTACCAAACATGCCTAGATCAATTAAAACCTCACATCGAAGTGTTGTATTTGGAAACCAGCAAGTGAAAATTTAAAAGAATTAAGGTGGTAAGTGGTAAGCAAGATACCTAATTATGTCTGTATCTCTAAAGCTCTTGGGCTTTCCCTCTTAAAATGCATGTAGGTTTAATTAGAACTCTTTACTTATGTGAGAAGAATACCTGTTGAACTATGAATTGTAGATGTCAGTAATAAGGTACATGTTAAATAGACAGTGGACTAAAAAGTTTAAAAACCTTCATAGAATATTATGATATTGGAGATATTTAAAGTTGCAAAAAGGATTTCTTTTATTTCCAGACTGTCTTTACGGTGTATGCTTCACAAACTCTGTCTAATAGCATTTGTTACCAGACATCTGCACTTTGTTTCCAGACTTCCAAGCTGTGTGGGTCATACTTACTAATGTATTATGTTTCTAAACTACATTGTATCTATGCCATGTGACCTATATTTTATTGTATTTTATTTCCAGACTATCTATGCTGTAAGGTCAGAGGTCAATCCAGGGTCAAATGAAGGTCACTGTATTGTTGGAAAGACATGTTCTCTTGAACTGATGGTAAAGGCTGTGGATAAAGTGAATACTGATGAAGACCAAACATTTGTGTATGAGATCCATCATGCCAACAAACACTGGAAGGTCCTTGGTGAAGCCAAATGTAAACAAATTTTATTAGTTATATCCAAAGAACTTTTATACTTGATATTGATGGATCAGATATCTCAATTTCTTTTTAGAAAATAAAATTAGCATTATAAGAGAAACATTGCATGCCTTCTGAAAAAATTACTACCAACATGTAACACCATCTTGTCTCTACTTTCTCATTGCTTTGAATGCACCATACACTAATCTTCATTCCAGGTAGCTTCAAACTGAAGGACAGCATTTTCACAAAGACATTAAGCATTCAGCCTCTTACATGTGGGTTCCTGCCTCTACCCAACATCACACTATTTAAACAGAACAGTAGCAGTACACCAGACAACACTATGGGTGAACTTGAAGCATTTAGTCATGGGGAGGTGTATAACATAACTCAGTCATCACAAATTCTAGTCAAGAAGGGATTGCCAGAGAATGTAATCGCAACAACAAATGTCACTGCCATATAAGGAATAATGGATACTGTAAATGAACATTTAATGAATATAGTTGAATACTTAAATATATTTTATTAAGAATGCCTTATATTTTAAGTATGCACAATACTTAAAGCAAAATATCAATAGAGGTGTTTCTCCCTTGCTAAGTAGAGAAACTAGATGTATTTCAAATTGAATTACTTATGATCTAATAAAAAGTAATAGAAACAGTATACTGGATTAAAGTTAAATAGTGTTGAGTATAAACAATTGTAGTTAAAATTGTGAATTATATACATATTTCTTTATTGCGGACAAGTAATGGTGACATAGTTGAAAAAGAAATATATAGATGAATTTATTATAAAGAAGAATGAGTATGTGTATGTTCAGTAAAAATCTAAAAAAGTAAAATATAATATGTAGACCTATGTTTTTTGGTCTATATAATAATTATGTCACCACCAGAGGTGGTGAGTGGTGACATACAGTCGGCGGTTGGTGTTTGGCACCTCTTACAAATGGCAGGTAGTGACATTTTACATGTTCATGCCTTGTTTAGTTATTCTTATAGCTGTTTACAGTGAAGTAATTATTTATCAGGGTCAACTTCATAGAGGAATCCTGTGTCTGGCATTAACACTCTATTATATGAAGTACTCTGGACGAAAACACGCCACTTCTCGAGAGCTGCTGGCTTAATCTTGCTACTACCACCTGCACCAATGAGAGCGCAGGCCTCAGGCCCAGTAAACATGTCACCCGTTGCCTTGTCAACCAGTACAACTTCCTTCTTGTGAGATATCAGCTCTGGCTTGGTGAACTCATAGAAGCCTTGACCTGCTTTGAAGACAAGGTCATTGTCCTGAACGAACTGCTTGATGGCACATTTCTCATCCACGTGGAGGATCTGGAGATAAAGAATTGGATACATTATATACATCATACTTAGATTGTACCCCATTACCATTTTAGCTCATATATGTAGTGTTGACTCATGTTTTATAAAAACAATTTATTTGATGTTCTGACAGAATTTTTAGTAAATTGTCTAAGATTTATATTGACGTGAATGTTTATATTCTAACAATATATGTAAGTTTTTGTTCAGATATACAAGTAGATCTACAGATTTCTGTCCGTGGTGAAGTATGGAATCAAATCAAGCATTTGGTAAGGGAAATTCAAACGGACAGACAAGTAAATGAGCAAAGGAACGCCAACGAATGACACTACATTACAGTGTATCTATTAGCTACTACCAACCTGGAAACGTGATGGATTGACTGCAGTGAGATCACCGTCTACATCACCCGCAACAAATGTACTTTTGGTTCTTCCATTAAGTGTATCAAATAGACGATGGAGTTCACGATTCATGCCTCCACCTTTCTTTCTCCCCTTCACCTCCGCCTCATATGCCTGAAATCAACAAATTATAATCATTACAGAACAAACTGAAAGCATCCAAAATTATGTAAAAAAAATAATTTATTTCAACTAGACAACAGCAACGCCAAAGCGTAGAAAATCCCATCGAACAGCCATGGCTGGAATTTTTACAAACAAATTTTGAAAAATGGCCACCTTCTAGCAAAAGTGTCACTAGAAGTGTGCCATGCTTATAGTATTTTCATACAAAATATGAACAAAATCGCTCCACTACTTTTCGCAAAATCGTAAAATAGCGAGTAAAGGCCACCATTTTTCAAGAAGTAGCTAAGTGCTTCTTTAAGATCTATGTGAATGTAAAAAATAATGTTTATCTTAGAATAACTTCATTCATGTTATTGACCTGGTACAATTGTGTAAAAAGGTATAAGATAAAATGTTTTAATAAGGTCACTGGAAAAATCAATTGGAAGCAGGATATAACGGTTGTTGTAATATTATACATTCACGTACACGGTCTCTTTAATACAGTGCTAACTTAACCTCCCTATTGTTTCGCGAGACATACCTGAAGTTGGTCCATGCCCCTCTCATTGAAGCAGATCGCCATCATGAAGTCTTGTATGGCTGCAAACTGGTCAAGATTCAAATGATAACCGCCAGTCAACTTGGCGATGGTTCGGTAGAAATTGGTAGCTGCCCCATAATTTAAAGCTTGACAACCATATATTCGGACACCCATTTCTCCAAGTGCTTTTGCTTCTTTGCGCCAATCTAGTTTTTTCTTATTGAGGCCATAGTTTGGCTCGTGAGGGTTACAATCGCCTATCATTACCTACAAATCAATATTTATCAATTAATTGAGTGTTTTATCTTACAATCGCTCTTAATAATGGATATGTTTATGGAAAATTTGTTATTTTTAAAGGTACGCTTCAAAATATATATAGCTTTATACAAACGTCTTATTTGACATTTGTGTATCTGTTTTATTGCAATATATATGCATGATTCAAAGATTACTCACCAATGAACGCTGTGTACCAGGCGTCCAAGAGAGTTCTGTCCTGGCTTCGTGAAGTACAAGCTCATAGCATTCGTCAGCGTCGTAGCCACACGTACTTTTCACTGTCTTAACAAAATTGCACAGCTTCTTCTCGTCCCCTGTGAAATCTAAATGGCAGGTACAATAAGGATGGCCTTTATCTTGGTAGTCCCCATGTGCTATTATGGCGATTCTGATTCCCGGGATCTCTTTGTTGAGTCGTTTTATCATATTTTGGACGTTGCTTCTCACTTGGCCTAATGCTGGATACATTGAACCTGTTGTATCAAATGTGAATACGATTTCGATGGGACCACCAGCACCTGGGGGAGGAACGGTCGATTTGGGTTTTGTAGGACTCGATGGAGATGTTTCTTCGTCTTCATCATCAGCAGCTTCAGCGGTTGGTTCCTCTGCAGCCTTCTTTCCTCTACCACGTCCTTTAGGAGCAGCAGTCTTTGGAGCAGCAGCCTTTTTGGTTGCCTTCGGAGCAGCAGCTTTTCCCTTCGTTTTCTTAACTGGTGGCTCATCTTCAGCATCGTCACCGGTGGCAGAGGTGTCAGGACCTCCTACGTCATAAAGAAACTCTGTATTGGGCATTAACGCCCTGTTGTAAGAAGTACTCTGGATAAACACGTCAAAGTCCGGCAGTTTGGATAAATCTAATTTGAACTTCTTGACAGCTGCATCAGCAGGAATACTTAACGCACTCCGGACTGTATCGCCTGAAATGAATGAGCCATCGCTTTTTCTTCTGGCTACGATTTCTTTGTTATCTTGAATTATTTCTGGTTTGGTGAGTTGGTAAAAGCCTCTCCCTTTTTCGAAGACCAATTTCTTTGAAGCAACCAAGTCTTTTATTGGCGTTTTCGCTGTAACTTTGATCGTTTTAAAACGGCCGTCAGTTCCTGCTTTTCTCTTCGGTGGCATTATTATTGTGGTTATTCAGTTTAAGTACTCTTTAGAAGGGACTACAGCACCTGGAATGAAGTATTTGGAATTCAAGGTTACAATAAGGGTCATCTATCTTTCCCGAATGACAATATACCCCCCTTTCTAACCAATAAAGTAACTACCTGGTCATTTAAGAAGCTCCCCAGTCGATCCTTTCTTGGAAAAAAATATATATATAAATATGCACGTGTAATAATACAGGGTTCCCATAAACTATTATTATTCTGTTTTAAGTGTAAATAGACTTTACGGACAACCTGCATTTCAAGGTATGGTTAGGATTACAAATTATGAAATAGCATTTTAGCATAAACTTCCGAGAGCTAAATCTATCTACTTTAAGGTACTTCCGTATGATCAGAAATTTGAAAGGCTTCCTCGGAATGAAGGTCCATGTTCAGGTAAATAAATCTACCTTGATTATATCAGTTGGTAATCCATTTTATATGAAGAAAATTCGATGACCCACTTTTTGCAAGACGTACATAAATATACATATATAGTAGGTAACATTATGCATGAAACGTACATATCTATGCATGAACCTCATATCTATACATGAAATCTAACACAGGAATCCCTGCCAAACCCTGCCAAATAACAACAAACTAATTCAAATTAATACGCTACCAGTTAACCTTACTGACACTAGTGCAACTACTGAACTTCTACATGTACACTTACCCTTCCGAAGCTTTAATAATATGGATTAAGCAACACCGGGGTATTATATATAGCACGTCGACCAGATTATGTGCTTTCGACGCGTTCATACAAGTCCAATATGGAGTCCCTAACTACTTCATCGATTCAATGTAAACAAACCTTATCTTTGGCGTACATTACCGGCCTCTATACGATCGAAATTACAATAGATTGAGTTGTTGAATCGAGGTTGAATCAATAGTACTTATTGACATATTTGTACATAAGTTACATTGAAAGATGTCGCTCATTTATACTTATAATAATTCATTTGATAGTTAAAAATCACATGATCAAATAGGCACGGGGTTGGATCTGATAATTTGTCCGCTGTGGAAGAGTCTCATGCTGGTGAGAATCCGCCATTGCGGACGAGAATTTTAACATATTCTTTTACAAAATTAAGCTAAAGAATAACGCGCCTGGTGTGCTTTTGTTAGAAGAACTACCAGAGGTCTCATTATCCGGTAAGCGCAAAATTAGCGTTGCGTTGCGCTTGCAAATCAATATTTTTCGCAAGCGCAAATCGTTTTTTGCGTGGTATTACGGGCTTCACGCAAATACAGACGCAAAAAAGTATGCTAACCGCATTTGTAAAAGGAGATCGCAAATAAATTAGAAACGTGGGAAATTTAATCTTAAGGCCTAAAATATATTTATGGAAAAACATCTCATGAATGGATCTTTTTCAAATATTTTGTAATTTAATTGATGTCTTATGAACATTGAATTATTTATTAAACTACGAAATGAAAAATTGAATGCATATTATCAAAAATGTTTTGGATTGTATCAGAAATATTTTGTAATTAAGATAACGTCTGCATTTGATCGAATTATCTAAATTGAGATGGAAACATAAGTGTCAAAATCAAATGAATTGAAGTACGAAATACCAAATAGAATGCAGTGTCGAAAAAACTTAACATGTTTAAGATTGTATCGCCTGTTTTTGCAAATATTCTATACATGGTGGCATAATGCGAATTTAGAAATATTTTGTAATTAAAATTGTGTCTCATGAATTTGAGTCTAAGATGAACACGTATGATTGAAAGCAAATAGAATGCATATTTTCAGAAACGTACTTTAGGACTGTAACACCTGCTTTTAAATCAATTATATGGTGGCAGATTACAAATCAGACCCTAGACTCTTAAGTTGTAGAACTGTCACGGTGGCTAATTGGTAACTGTATAACCATTTCAAGAACATGAATCCCTGAATCACATAATTGAAATACCCTGATCATTCTTATCATCAAGCATGATTGGACTTTTGGTTGAATCATTTTCGTAGGACGTCTAGGGCATAGTGTGACTCCATGGGGCAAAGTTGACAAGTTGGATTTTGGCTTATACGGGATCCAATATGGGATCTGATATATGGGATTTTGGCTCATGAGGGATCCAATGTGGGATCTGATATATGGGATTTTGGCTTATACGGGATCCAATATGGGATGTGATATATGGGATTTGGGCTTATACGGGATCCAATATGGGATGTGATATATGGGATTTCGGCTTATACGGGATCCAATATGGGATGTGATATATGGGATTTTGGCTGAGATCTGAGACAGGACGTTTTGAATATGAATTCTATTCCTGTTAATTTCCCTGGGAATAATATTATTATGAATTATCATATTAAAAAAGTGCATTGCATTGACATTTGTCTGAGGATAGCAAGTGTTGTGTATAAGGTCAAGTAGCATAGACATAAAGGCTAGTTTCAATTTAACAAAAAAAATCACTAAAAAATTGTTTGATTTGCCCTGAGTTATTTCATGTTAATCTGTTCACTCGTTTTTGCTTCCTCCCCAGGTTGAAGTGAATAGAGGAAAGATCAACCTGATAATTTATGACATTTGTCCTTATTACCACTAATTTCTCTTGAGGGCGTAACAATTGTGACATAGACTGCTAGAATCAAAATCAAATGAATTAGTAGAAAATCTGTTAAGGTAAGTCAAGTAGAATAAGAAATTTGGTTAATTAAGGTAGGCAGAGAGGAATTAGTTGATTGATGAATTAATGTAGTCAGAGTGGAATGAGTAATCTGACAAATTAAAGAGAGAATCAGATCTAGCGAGCAGCCTCACAGAAAATTGTTTCAATTTTAGAATATTTCTGGCTTAGGCCTATGTCATTCCTTTTCATGTCTATTTCCTAAAAATCCCAAAGTTAACACTGAGAAGAATGAGTAACATAACTAATTAAGGTAGACAGAGTAGAATGAGTGACCTGACTAATTAAGGTAGACAGAGTAGAATGAGTGATCTGACTAATTAAGGTAGACAGAGTAGAATGAGTGATCTGACTAATTAAGGTAGTTAGAGTAGAATGAGTGATCTGACTAATTAAGGTAGACGGAGTAGAATGAGTGATCTGACTAATTAAGGTAGACAGAGAAGAATGAGTTATATGACTAATTAAGGTAGACAGAGTAGAATGAGTGATCTGACTAATTAAGGTAGACAGAGTAGAATGAGTGATCTGACTAATTAAGGTAGTTAGAGTAGAATGAGTGATCTGACTAATTAAGGTAGACAGAGTAGAATGAGTGATCTGACTAATTAAGGTAGACAGAGTAGAATGGGTGATCTGACTTATTAAGGTAGACAGAGTAGAATGAGTGATCTGACTAATTAAGGTAGACAGAGTAGAATGAGTGATCTGACTAATTAAGGTAGACAGAGTAGAATGAGTGATCTGACTAATTAAGGTAGTTAGAGTAGAATGAGTGGTCTGACTAATTAAGGTAAACAGAGTAGAATGAGTGATCTGACTAATTAAGGTAGACAGAGAAGAATGAGTTATATGACTAATTAAGGTAGGAAGAGTAGAATGAGTGATATGACTGATTAAGGTAGACAGAGAAGAATGAGTTATATGACCAATTAAGGTAGACAGAGAAGAATGAGTTATATGACTAATTAAGGTAGGAAGAGTAGAATGAGTGATATGACTGATTAAGGTAGGAAGAGTAGAATGAGTGACTTTACTAATTAACACTGAGAAGAATGAGTAACATGACTAATTAAGGTAGACAGAGTAGAATGAGTGATCTGACTAATTAAGGTAGACAGAGTAGAATGAGTGATCTGACTAATTAAGGTAGACAGAGAAGAATGAGTTATATGACTAATTAAGGTAGGAAGAGTAGAATGAGTGATATGACTGATTAAGGTAGACAGAGAAGAATGAGTTATATGACCAATTAAGGTAGACAGAATAGAATTAGTGATATGACTAATTAAGGTAGACAGAGTAGAATGAGTGATATGATATGACTAATTAAGGTAGGAAGAGTAGAATGAGTCATCTGACTGATTAAGGCAGTCAGAGTAGAATGAGTGATCTGACTAATTAAGGTAGACAGAGTAGAATGAGTGATCTGATAATGAAGATAGGAAGAGTAGAATGAGAAATATGACTAATTAAGGTAGACAGAGTGGAATAAGTAATCTGGTTAATTAATAACATACTATTGCTATTTTGTCTAATAACTAAAAACTCCTAGGTAAATGAATCCTTTCATAGTCATCAGGGCTTACACTGTATATACCATGAGCATGCAACGTAAAATGTATTTTTTGTAACCTACAAGCTAACTAATATCATAACAAATGTGAACAATGTAATGCAATATAACACTTAGCAATCATAACAATGTAATATGATACTACACAACCCAGAAACCTTGCAACAAAGCAATTAACCACAGATCAATAAACCTTATTCCCTGGGTGCATGTGCACTCTAGATCCATGAGTAAATTCAGATTATCACCTTTTTAAATAGCTGACATTACATACAGCTTGGTTATGGAATGAATGTGGGGATATGCTTGGTTGGATAACAGAGACCTAGAATTCTTATATTCAATTTGCTTTATTGTATTTAGTTCACAGGGTTCTTTTTGCAATTCAAATATACTATCATTCATTTATCGAAAATGACATTGTCCAGGTCTTTAAGCAATGGATAAACATTAACAATGAGTCTTGGGTATGAAGACAAAAAGGCTCAAAATAGTGTGGCACAAAGGAGGACTGACTGTCAAGCGCAGTGCACGAAAGCTTAACTAATTACACCATATTTATTCATTCAATAGTTGAATATAGTAAACACAAGAGACCTACCTCATAGTCAGTACATTCTAAAACCCAGTACTCATAGTTTATCCTTAACAGAAAAATAAGATTTATTTTATATTCAACTGGAGGTATTGTGATAAATGTAAGTAAGTGAGTGGGCTATAATAAGTCCAGCCTCAGTGCACTGCATTTAACATAACAGGTACAATGATTTATTTTGTATTGACTATTCAACTGGAGGTATTGTGATAAATGTAAGTAAGTGAGTGGGCTATAATAAGGCCAGCTTCAGTGCACTGCATTTAACATAACAGGTACAATGATTTATTTTGTATTGACTATTCAACTGGAGGTATTGTGATAAATGTAAGTAAGTGAGTGGGCTATAATAAGTCCAGCTTCAGTGCACTGCATTTAACAGAACGGGTATGATGTAAAATTTGATTTATTTTGTATTGACTATTCAGCTGGAGGTCTTAAACTGGAGGTATTGTGATAAATGTAAGTAAGTGAGTGGGTTATAATAAGTCCAGCTTCAGTGCACTGCATTTAACAGAACGGGTACAATGTAAAATTTGATTTATTTTGTATTGACTATTCAACTGGAGGTCTTAAACTGGAGGTATTGTGATAAATGTAAGTAAGTGAGTGGGCTATAATAAGTCCAGCTTCAGTGCACTGCATTTAACAGAACGGGTACAATGTAAAATTTGATTTATTTTGTATTGACTATTCAACTGGACACTCTAAAAAATGAATTACTTGAGTATTTCCCAAGTATTTCCCAAGTATAAAAATTACTTAAAGTTAAATACTTAGTTTTACTTCATTTTACTTAGGATTAACTTATATTGTCATTTTGAGTTTTTTAATTGCTTAATTATGTAAATGAGTATTACAATTACTACAGTAAGTATTTCAATTTCTCTCCTTGCATTAGTAAATTCACCATAAATGAATTACTTAAAAATTATTCAGTAGTTCAAGATTATTTAAGTAATTTTTGACTT